CATCGATCGCGAGCCGACACGTTGATTGCTTGGGATCCAGCCGGCAGCAGCTTCCTAGTGACTGGCAGCGGTCGGAGCCTTTCTCCGTTTCGTGCGCGGGCCAGAAAATGGGCAGTCGGCCTAAAAGGGGGCAGGCAGTTGTAACTCGAAGAGCGGGGTGGAGGTCAGCAGCGATAGGATACACTCCTTTGCTTGCTATGCATCTGTGTGAGGTCGGCTTCCAGACCGAGGTGGGCACTTGGTGGGCATTTCTCTTTTTGGCTACCACGGGCGTCCAGGTCTATCCATCGAGGTACTTATGTGCCCTAAGCCCCACCTCATACAGATCCCGCTACTTATATACAGGTGTCCAGGATCACAAACACTAGTGCGGTGGAGCAAGATACATTTTCTTCCTTGGAAAACCAAGCCAAACTGATGTACCACCAACATCCACCGCACTTGTGTTTGTGATCCTGGACACCTGTACTGTGCTCCTTATCGCCAGTGGGTCGCCACGAACCCGCCAACAATGGTGAGACTTTTGAGGCTACCCGCAGTTCGAGAAGCTCGCCTCCGCGTCCTCCTCCGCGTCCTCCTCCGCGTCCTCCTCCGCGTCCTCCTCCGTGTCCTCTTCCCCCCCTCCCTCCTGCCTCCTTATGCATGGTACCTGTGTGACCAAACTGCCCCGGACTGGTCAGTTGGTTCATGCAGGGGACCGTGTCGCATGGCTGGACACTAGCTTCTTCGGTGCTTCCCCGAGCAGCGCTGTCTCGTTGGTGGTCTCCTTATTGGCCATCTTTCGCTTCATGGCGGCACAGCCAAATGCCAAGGGTCTGGCTGGATCAGCCAATCCCGTGGTAACGCTCCTGGCCGGCCTTGTGGCGTGCACCGGCAATAGCCACACCGCTGGTGAGGCACGACGTCGCCTTCTCCCCCAAACCCCGAGTCTCGGCACGGTATACGCAAATCCTAGCCGGTGGCATACGTTTGATGTCTGATCTGGGCCTAGATACCACTCAAGTCGCCCGAGAAGGATCCGAGGGAACCACTTGGACCAATAAGACTTATTTCATGTGCAAAGTGCCCTTCAAAGATCTTGATACCTACATCCGTGGTGCTACCTACATCGTGAAGACCTAACGGCGACAGAGACTTCCGCTCGTCTTCCTCGCCTCTGTGAAGCTAGACCTATCGTCTCCCTCCTTGACAATTCACCTCGAGTTTCCAAGAAAATGCGTCACCAAGTCAGATCCCTCCACACCGAGGTCATAGAAGGGGGGCTTCGTCAAACCACGTCGACCGACTCCCCTGTGGGCGCGCGGCAACAGCCCAGACCGGACACCATTGACCAGCGTGGCCCGGTCGATAAAGTGCCTGAGCGGACGGGGGCTGTAGATCGGGGTCGGAAACCAGGGAGTGGCATGACCACCCCGGAACTGTGAGAGGAGCGCCGCACTCGCACACACAGGTGATGCCTGGCTCCGCTTGTCCATGTCGACGTAGCCGATGGCTGACCTTGAGGGGTCCTCTACTCGACGCACGACGTACCCATCGCCCGACGGAGCACGGCGTAGGCCCCGTGCCGGCGTAACCCGCCGAGGGACAGCTGGTTTCCGTACAGGGAGCACACTGTAATCGTAGCCATACCAAGCCAAGGCCCGCAAGTCTCTCCTGGTCGAGCCGTGGCCATTCCATATGTCGTGCGAAGGCCTGAGATTTCGCAACCCCCTCCGGCTGTTCGTACACCTCTAGGCGCGTTTCCGTCGTAGACAGCTGTACTGCCAGGTGTAGCCCGTAGTCGGGGCCAGCCATAAGTGATCAAATAGCCACCTGAGAGGCGGCCATCGTTAACCGGGTGATCCAAGCTGTCAGGCCATCGTTAACTGGGCGATCCAAGCTGTCAGTCGCCAGTAACCGGATTGGATAGTTGGATGACCGGGGATTAACACGTACTTATTGACTCGAGGTCGTCTTCCTAGTTGCAATCAGACATTCTAAAGCGTGCGTCTTCTTGTTTTAACCCGCTGTTAATTACATGTCGATGCAGAGTTGGTAACCCGAGACGAGAGCTGGCACTATGGAGGCCCGAGAAGAGGGAGAATGGGGGGAGAGGAGGTCCTTATGGGAGTCGAACGCCAGAGGTGCCATCATGCTGCCGCGCAGGCTGCGATGATATAGCTCTTTATGAGATCCGAGCGTGGAAGCCTGCTTGAACCAAGCGTGGAAGCCTGCTTGAACCAAGATTCACAACTCAGTCTGCCTTGAAGGACCGTTTGTGTGAGGTTTTCATGCCTTCTTCGGCAGGCGAATAGGAGCAGTGGATGAACTCCGTAGCTGCGAGTACATAGCAGGAGCTCTCGGCCTCCTTCCCGTGACCGCTCTCGTGTATCCATCGAATTTTTTCAGCTCCAATCATGAATAGTACCAGCGCAGAAGAGGGTCACAAAAGGCAAGGTCTCTTGTAGCAAAAGTGGGGAAGATTTCACGACCCTGCGGTATCCTTTGCAATCCACGAAAGTGACGATAGCGCGACTGCGGCCAGCGAGGACAGCGACAACACGACAATGACGACAACGAGCCCGACTTGACGATCGACCCGGGACGAGGTTGAGAATACCCGACCCGTCGCCGTGCCCAATAGGCGGACGGTCCCAAGGGCCCAGCTCAACGCCGCTGCAAGTTCTTGTGTTGCTCCTAACCTAAAGTCCGTCTGGAGGCATGGTGCAGTTGATCCTCTTCCCATTCATCCTGCAGCAGAGGCATCGTCATCGTCGTTTCTATCAGGTCGACCGGGTCACAGTCCTGACAGAGCTCTTTCCATAAAGGGGGCGGCTTCCTCCTCCCTCTCAACACGCTCGTGCGATGACCACCGGCTCCAATCACGACGGCCAGGACCAACACCCCTCTCACCAACACGATATCGTCATGGCTGCCTCTTTCCGCGCTCTCGCAACTCTCCCTCCCTTCAACTACTTTCCTCGTCTCTCCAAGCACCCACGCACACGCCCACCCAACCCGCAAACTCGCCATGGCTCTCGCCGCCTCCCCCCGCGCCCCCGCGCTCTTGCCGACCAGCTGCTCTCCACGAGCAGGCGACAACAAAGAACGCCCGCCATCGTCATTGAGGAGAGCGATTCCGAGGGATGACGACCCTAGCTACGTTCCCAGCCGCCGCGACGAAGCCCCAGGGAGGGGGCGCCCGTCTCGTGATGCCCTAGTGGG